TGTTTTTTAATCTGAGAGACGGAAGATTGGACAAATAGAAAAAACACACACATCAGCTAGTTCTCTCCCCCAAAGACCCATATGGTTGTACTAGTCTGAAGCTGCAAAAGACTCAACCCAGGTCTCCAATATAGGTGTCAAGAACACAACTACCTGAGCTGTCACTAACGTTCCTCATGGTCCTGGTTACAAGTCACAGCTGTGTCAGGAACTGAGCTGCAATCAAACCCAGGCACTCCCATGTGGACACAGGCGCCTGATCCACTAGGATAAATACCTCCTCTCCAGTCTGGGAGTTCACAATTTTACTGAGACTATTAAACTATTTTATGAAGATTTAAGACTCAAGTTGATTTATTCTCCTAAAACAAGTAAAGCATTTCCAAATTTTAGTTTTTTATTTCACTACAAGACACAACATACAGTACATTAGTTTGTTTCTTATTTTTAGTGATTTTAAAAACTTTTTTCTCTTTACTATGAAATAAGCATTAACATTCCTACTGTGTAAATGAAAAAATTTAAGGTAGAAAGGTGAGTCGATCAGACAAGACAGAAGAGAGGGAAAAAAATGGAATTAAGAAACAGATCGAGCCCAGCATGGTAGTCTAGTGGCTAAAGGCCTTGCCTCTCACACACCGGAATCCCATATGGGCGCCAGTTCTAATCCCAGCAGCCCTGCTTCCCATCCAGCTCCCTGCTTATGGCCTGGGAAAGCAAGGGGGGTATGGGCCAAAACCTTGGGACCCTGCACCCATGTGGGAGACCCAGAAAAAGCTCCTGGCTTCGGATTGGCTCAACTCCAGCCTTTGCAGCTATGTGAGGAGTGAATCAGCGGATGGAAGATCTTCCCCTCTCTCTCCTCTCTGTATATCTGACTTTACAATAGAAATAAAATAAACCCTTAAAAAAAGAAAAAAAGAAAAAAGAATAGAGTTTAAATGCATTGGCTCTAACATTGTGCATGTTCCTTTGCTTCCTGGACTTGTTCTTTCCGCTATAATATAGAAATTATACCACCTACCCACCACATGGTTGGTGTTAAGTAAAACACCTGAGAACCCAGCACAATGTCTCAACCAGGCAATCCTCTTGCAAGTAAGTTTGTGTCCTAGCTGCTCTAATTCCCATCCAGCTCTGTGCTTACAGCCTGCAAGGGCAGAGAAGAATGGCCTAAGTTCTTGGGCCCCTGCACTCCTGTAGGAGACCCAGATGAGGCTCCTGGCTTCAGAACAGCACAATGTGGCAGTTGTGGCCATCTGAAGAGTGACCCAGCACACAGAGGATCTTACTGTCTCTCCTTCTCTCTGCAAATCTGCCTTGCCAACAAAAATAAATAAATGTTAAAAACAAACAAAAAACACCTAACAGAAGCTTAGTATACACAGCCCTTTAACAAACATGGTTCTCTCATCAATCCACAATCCTACTTCCCTCACCTGGTACAGCAGATATTTAAACAATCCATAATGGTGTTGTGAAGGAAATGAACAAACAATGCCCAACAAACACGGGTTCTGTTCCTTCTCTCCCTCCCTTACCCCTACCTAAGTGGTGGGGACGCAGTTAAAATTGAATAGTGGGTCTACTGCAGAACTGCCTCTGCACACACATGTCACTTATAATAGATTCTTATTCAACTGCAAAAGCTAATTTAACTCAGCTGCTTAATCAGTTACTTCAATGTGCCCCCAGTAAAAAATTTATTTCTAGGGTTGCTCTACCTTTCAGTGATCACAAAAAAAAAAAAAAGTGATTAAGATTTCTGGCTTGAAAAATATATATGCTTTTCCAATATATATTTCTACTAGACATTTTACAATATCTATTCTTAAAACTGATAGACTTTATAATCTGTTTAAAATATACTCCGTAGGATATCACATTTGTAGGCATTGAAATTAATGACTCCATTCAGAAATCTAGATACTTAACTGTCTCATTTTTCCTATTTTCCCAAATAAAACAGCAAAGTAAGGTGTTAAATACAAAATAAATACAGATAGACACAAACGAAGCAGATAAGTGAAAAACTGGCCCAGATCTGCACTTATAAAGCAATGACCTTCAAAACTGTCAGGAGACTGCTAACCATATTCTTCACAGGGGAGCAATTATACTAAACCCTCCTATATATACTTTCACTTCTCATGGTCTACACGCATATTTACACATCAGAAAGTATGAAGAAACAATCTGGTAGCTGTGGCAACCTTCACTGAGAAGACATAAAACACTTTCATTACTTTAATAATCACATCCTAAACGCCAGATCAGTGTAAGTGCTGCATTATGAAAGGCTAGACTCATACTTTGAATTTCCTACAAATGAAATCTACCAAACGTGGCTAACATGATTCCAATTAGTGATACATTTCTGATTCTGGAATATCCTAAGTGATCTCTCATTATCTGAAGAGGCACAAAAATCTTTCTAAAACACACATTTTATTTAAACAGAACTGTAGCATACACTTTAAGGGAGCTCAAACTGTCACACCCCAAAATTAAAAATATGCAGGACTTCCATGCCTAAAAGGCTAAGGTTACTTACCCTAATGACAAGCTCACAGATCTTTTCCTTACCAACTTAAAAGCCCAGTTTTTGCCAAACACACATGTTCATACACTCACACACACACACACACACACATACACATACATTATAGAAATGTACAAGAGGAAAAGTTGGTAAAGAAATCTCAATTTGTAAAATGTTCAAAAAAGCTATATGCAAAAAATTACTAATTTCATGTAAGAGACTGTCTTTTTTTAAACCTCTTCTCTCTTGGCTGAAGACAAAAGCAATTCAGAATGGTGTTGTCAAATAATGCAACATCACATTATACTTTAGAATTCTATGCTTTTTTAGATTCCACACAGAAATCATAAGGCACAACCATTAACGCTGTCTAGACAGTGAGCACTATGAGTTACCACATTACATCAAGCTCAATTATTAAATAACATTCAATTGCAATCATGTAAAAGAAGAGCAGCAGGAAACAAATAAAACCACAGTAGGACACAGAAGCATAAATCCAATACATCCTGGTTAACTTAAGAATATCCCTTTTCTTAACGGTGATTGAAAAATCCACAATTATAAAACCGATCACATGCTCACAGGTTCCACTAATTGGGAAAAACTGGTTGCCTTATCACAGTGCCTTAAAACCATCAGGCTCTCATGCCCAGTGGCGCGGTGATGTGAATGTTTCATTTGTGTGCTTTATACCTCAGCAAAAGTTAATGACCTGCCCCAGAAATCCTATTTTATCACATAGCCACAAAGTATTCTTAGGACTCACCAAGTCCTAAAGCTCCCATTGCCCTTGACACGCTATTGTGCAAATGCTTTAAATGGTAAGACAAAAGGAGGAAGACTTTCAAAGCTCTCCATGTATGCAAATAGCAAAGAAACCCCTTCAATGTGGTCTCTTTTTTCCCCACCTCCTCTACCGAAACAAAAAACAACAACAAAAACCTGTGCACGGCACCGTGATACGACAGAAACAAAAAAAAGTAGCGTGGCACTCATTCAGCAGGGATATCATAAAGAGCATCTCTCTAGCACAATTCCACTACAAACATCCTTTCACGAGATGGCTAGCTTGAAGAACAGGGGCCTCCAGATCCCAGGCAGCGGTCAGCACTGGTGCCCAGCGCCGGCCCGGGTCGGGGGCGGAGGGGCCTGAAGGAGCCCGCGGCTGGCAGCGCCGAGTCGGCAGGGCACAGAGGCTCCCTCACACTACCCAGCGTCTTTCTCACACACCGCTCTCTGCCGCGATTGAGCACTGTCAGCAAAAATAAATAAATAATGATCATTTCAAAACGGGGTGTAGGGTAGGGGCGTGGTGAGGAGGGGCAGGAGACCACGAGCATAAGGGACCTGGATACATCCCAGCCCAGAGACGCCGCCGCCGGTCTCTGGCGGCAAAGGCGAGGCATCAGGTGAGACCCCTCCGGGTCCGTCAATTTGCCTCTCCTCACAGAGCAATTTCCGGCGAGAAGCGCAGGATCCTCCCGGAACAGGGGTGAATGTTTGGTGTCTGTCTCCGACTTTACAGAGGAGCAGACAGGGCTGTGAGGCTGCCTTCCCGGGACCGACTACTACTCCCGACGCGCCGCACAGCACGAGGGAAGGAGCCCGGGCCAGGCGTTGGGGGGCAAGGGGGGATTTTTTTTTTCCTTTCCCACATACCAGGCTGAGTAGCAGCGTCGTATTGTTGATGTTTGGGCTAAGTCGCCCCCTGGCTCCCATTTCGCTGAGACTTGTTGCTAAAATCTTGACCTCACGCCCCCTCAGAATTACCACCACCCCACACCCAATACACACACGCACAATAAGATGTGGGGAGCCAAAAAAAAAAAAAAGCGGGATTGGGGGCTAACCCTCAGGAGCCCGGACAGGGCTGGGCTCCCTTCAATAGGCCACTCTGCATGGGCTGCCCGTTCAGTTCTACCTTCTGAGGGCTCTGACTCACAACGCTGGGAAGCGGGGGGCGGGGGGCGGATTTATGACATAAACCACGATCTTTCCAACCATTTGGAGGTAAAGACTCGCCAGCCAGCAGCTCCTGCCCCACCGGAGAGCCCAAACAAGCGCCCCGCGACGGGGCGGGCCCCCCCAAGAAGCAGCTCGCGCACCCTGCCAGCCTCCCTCTGAGGCGCTCCCCACCCCAAGGCGGGCTCCGGGAACCGGGACGCGGCTCCCACCGCCAGAGAGGAGCGCAGACAGGGGAGAAGGTCGGGGTTCGGGACCGCCTGGGACTCCTCCGCACCAGGTTGCCCCCGGCTCCAGCAAGGGCGACCTGCACCGGGGCACTCCGCCGCAGCCAAGAGCCGGACAAAGCGCAGCGCCGGGGCTGCGGCGGCGACCACCACCACCACCACCACCACCCCTCTCGCTCCCTCCACCCAGAGCGGCTGCCAAGTTGGCCGGACTCGGGAGACTTGGAGAGGACAAGGTCCCGCGGGCGAGCCGGCGCGGCGCTGACCTGGATGGTGCAGGTGTACTCGCTGTCGTCCAGCAGCCGCACGGTGCAGCTGTACTCGCGCTCCAGGCTCCTGCTGCTGCCGCTCATCAACCTGCTCAGCATCTTCCCGCCCGTTCCCGGGAACGACGCGGCGGCGCTGCGGACCCCGGACCAGGCGCCCCTCAGCTCGGCAGCTCCGCGCGGGCCCCGGGAACCTGCACCATCACCCTAACCCCGTCGCTGCCGCTGGCCCTGCTTCCCCTCCCTCCCTCTCTCTCCTTCTTCCCCTCGGCCGCCACCACCTCCTCCCCCAGCCCAGAGCGAACGCCGGGCTCTCTCTCTCCCTCTCTCTCCCTGGCGCCCCACTGCCCGTGCCCAGCTCGTGGGGGCGGGGCCTTATCAAGAGGCGGCCAATGGCGGTCAGCGCGGCGGAACCGAGTGGCAGGCGGAACGGCCAATCGAGATAAGAAACTGAGATGATGGGCGGCCCGGGGAAACAATCACAAAAAAGCAGTCGGACCGGAGCCAAGCAGGACCAGCCCTCTAGCGTCCTTAACTAGGGGCTCTTCACCTCCCCGGTGGTTCCTATGGATGCTGTTTCCTCTCCCCGGGCCAGGTGTGGGCACTGGGCCGGATAGATGTCTGATGAAATACACCTGACCTCGGTTTCAGGAGCCGAGTCCGCACCCCGCAGCGCCGTGGTTCCCGCCCTTTTGGGAGAAGGGTGCAGGAGGCGGCGGGGTTCGAGATCCTAGTCGCTGCACCTGCGGATGCGGGCACCTCTGCTCTAGACCCGGAGGCCTCCTCCCACTTCTGCTGAACCCCCAAGTCGGGCAGACCAGGCCTCTTATTTTGGGGAACCTCTGCCTTATGGGAGCTACTTAAGTGAAAAGCTGCTGGGATCGCAGAGGTATTCAAGTGTCTCGGTTTAGCCCTTAGAAAAGCCTCCACTCTAACAAAACCGTTTCACTCTTTCCTTTGATGAACGTAAGACAAAAGGAGACGGAGGCGTGCTTGCTCCTTCGGCGGCTAAGGAGCAGAGGAGCCGAGGGAATCCTGCATTTTTAGAATTAAATTACCTCTTCAAACCACAGTATGTCAGGTGGGGCATATACAACACAAAGACAAAAAAAAAAGTTGTCTTCCCTTTGTGACCCCCACATCCAAGGACTTGAAGTTCTTTATAGAACTTCACTTGAGATGTAATGTGCTTCCTTGGAGATTTCAATGGAAGAAAATATTATAATCATGTCAATGCAGAATTTTAATGTTGTAACGTGTGTATTGGTTTAAAACAATGAAATAGACATAATAGCCTATTTTGTTTTGCTATGCTTGTTTATAACACATAAAAAAATGAAACCCTATATTCATCTAGGGAGAAAATCTCACCTTTAAAGTATGCCTCTTTCCTAATGTCTTTGGATTCCATTATTTCTCTGAGGTTTTGTTTCTTAGGTGTTTTTTGTTTTTGTTTTCTCTCTTTCTGCCTCTTTTCTCTCCCTCCTTTCTCCAGTTATCACCTGAATAACTGCCCATGTTGCTCTTCTTTTTTTTTTTTAAGATTATTTATTTTTATTGCAAAGTCAAATATATACAGAGAGGAGAAGAGACAGAGAGGAAGATCTTCCGTCCGATGATTCACTCCCCAACGGCCAGTGCTGCGCGGATCCGGGTCTCCCACACGGGTGCAGGGTCCCAAAGCTTTGGGCTGTCCCCGACTGCTTTCCCAGGCCACAGGCAGGGAGCCGGATGGGAAGTGCAGCTGCCGGGATTAGAACTGGCGCCCATATGGGATCCTGGGTGTTCAAGGCGAGGATTTTAGCCGCTAGGCCATGGCACCGGCCTAGTTGCTCTTCTTACTGGTTGTACTCTCCCGTGTGGCATTTAACAGCCATAGGAAGAGATTCCTCTTGTTAATACAACCCTGTCTGGATTACTTATAAGACTAGAAACAGTAAGTCAAATATCCTAGGTGTAAGCTCCTTTTCCTTCATAACCCCAGTAGACAGCTTGGTGCCTGCTCAGAAATAGATATTCAATAAATATTGAACTGAGGTAAATGGGGCTGGTATCTACAGTACCTAATCCTAGAATGTCTATAAAAAATTTCAGGAAGGTCTTAGAGACAAGGGATAAAAATTAATGTCTGTTTCATTTCATCTGTTAGAAAAGTAGAATAACAGAGACAAAAATCTTCCATCTACTGGTTCACTCCCCGAATGCCAGCAGCAACAGCCTGGACTGCGCCAGGTTGAAGCCATAAGCCAGGAACTCCATCCAAGAGGTTTCCTATTCAAGGACCTGATCACTTGAACCATCATTCACTACATCCCAGAATGCATTAGCAGACATGGAGGAGCCAGGACTGGAACCAGCCCTCTGATTTGGGATGCAGGCACCCAAATAGTGACTTAACATGGTATGTCACAGTGCCTGTCCCAAAGTAAAATTATGAATATCCCAAAGTGATATTCCACAAAACTGGGCTTTGGTGTATCATGTGGATAACATAATAGGAAAGTTCACAGAGGAAGAACTTTTGGTAAATGCTACTTATTATAGACGCCACAAGAGAAAGAGAAAAATGTCCAAGAAGCTGGAGGAAGCCCTTTATTGTGGTAGTAGGGAGGTGTTTTAACAGGTTATGCAAATTAGCAGATGTTAGGGGAAAAAAGACAAAACAAAACTGTGAATCCAGAAATATTATAAGTAACTGAATACAGTCTGTCTTCAAAATATGACTATAGTGCATCTTCAAAATATGATGCAACAAAAGGGAATGAGACTATGGTTCCTATACCACATGTTAAGTAGCCTCCCCACACAGCCTAAAAAAAAAAATCTTAAAATAATAGTTGGATATTCATCCACCCTAATGTATAATATCCAAAGAGGGCTACACACTCGCATTTTCTGTCTGAGACACAGCACTCTATGAAGAAAACATGATTAAAAAATAATGGAGGTGGGCCTAGTGCAGTGGCGTAGTGGTTGGGGTCCTCGCCTTGGATGCACCAGGATCCCATGTGGGCACCGGTTCTGTCCCGGCAGCTCCACTTCCCATCCAGCTCCCTGCTTGTGGCTTGGGAAGGCAGTCCAAGATGGCCCAAAGTCTTGGGACCCTGCACCCGTGTGGGAGACCTAGAGGAGGTTCCTGGCTCCTGGCTTCAGATCGGCGCAGCGCCGGCCATTGCAGTCACTTGGGGAGTGAGTCATCAGGCAGAGGATCTTCCTCTCTGTCTCTCTCTTCCTCTCTGTACATCTGCCTTTCCAATATCTTAAATAATAATTATTATTATTATAAAATAAAAAGAAAAAATAATGGAGGGCCCAGCGTGATGGTTCAATGGAAAAATCCTCACCTTGAAATTGCCAGGATCCCACATGGGCACTTGTTCATGTCCCAGCTGCTCCAATTTCTACCCAGCTCCCTGACTGTGGCATGGAAAAGCAGTAGAGGATGGCTCAAAGCATTCAGACCCTGTACCCACGTGAGAGACTCAGAAGATGCTCCTTGGCTCCTGGCTTCAGATCAGCTCAGCTCTGGTTTGTGCAGCCACTTGAGGAGTGAACCAGTGGACAGATCTGTGTCTCCTCTCCGTAACTGTGATCTGCCTCTTCAATAAAAATAAATCTTTAAATAATAATAATGGAAGAAAAATAAGAATCCAGAGGTATGCCTCAAATATAAGGCTCACTAGTAAAAGCCTGAGGGGAACTAGAAAAGACTTATGTAAAACCAGATTGAGGAATACTTTGTTTTTCCCAGGGCTGTTAAGTTGGGGGCTCAGGAAGAAAGGAAATTGTTTGATCAAAGGCCTCATATGCCCTTGAGAACCAGTGTCATGACTTTCATGCATCTTTGAATATTAAAAAAAAAAAAGCCACATTTAAAACAAAACTGAATACTCCCACCTTCCAAACTGTCAGGATGTCATGCCTGCTTTCTACTATGAAGGACTCCTAAGGGGAGGTGTTGCCTCCCACACATGCCTGAAATAACTGAACTCCCACCTTGGCTTCAAAGGTCCTGTCCCCTGCTGTGCTGGGGTACTGATCTTTCTCTAGCCAATACAACCTTCACCTTTGCCTTAGGACATGGTCAGATGAAGCACCACCCTCTTTTTACTAGAACACTGCAAACACAAGTCCTTCCCAGCAAAATTTCCCCAAAAAATAACCAAGACCCAGCTGTAATGGCCAAATACTGAGAAAGAGACTCACTCAAAGTTTAGAATGCAGGGCCCAGCACAATGGCTCAGTGGCTAAATCCTCACCTAGCACACACCAGGATCCGGTATAGGCACTGCTTCATGTTCGTTTTCCTCTCCAACTCCCTGCTTATGGTCTGGGAAAGCAATAGAGGATGGCCCAAAGCCTTGGGACCCTGCACCCATGTGGGAGATCCGGAAGAAGCTCCTGGCTTTGGATCAGCTCAATTCCAACTGTTGGAGCCACTTGAGGAGTGAACCAGCAGACAGATCTTTTTCTCTGTCTCTCCCTCTCTGTAAATCTGACTTTGAAATGAAAGCAAATCTAAGAAAAGAGAGATAAGTAAATAAATAAATAAAGGAGGGAGGGAGAGAGAGAGGGAAAGAAAGTAAACACAAAATTGAGCATGTCGGTATGATACAACCATTCTCAAAGCCCTCATGGACTAGACACAGGCTGTCAAGCTGGTTCATAGGCCTAAAAACAGTTTCTCCGCTCCAGCAACATTTCCTCAGACCAGGATGTGGGTGTCCAGGCCAACCACTGTGAAGCTTAGAGAAGAACCTGCCCATTCAGATTCAGATCATGCTCTCTTTTTGTCCTTCCTTCTTTTCTCTCTTGTTTTTTTAAACTGTACTCATTTGTTCGAGAGGCAGGGAGACAAAGACAGAGCTCCTATCTACTAGTTCTGTCTTGGGGTCCATGTTTAAAGTTCTATTTTTTGTCCCTGGAGACTTCTTTCTAGAAAACCCCACCCTCTATGCGCAAGAGTGTGACTTTAACCTCTGAGCCAACAGGACCATCACATTAACACATACTAACCTAACATTAGCACATTTGTCACAATGTAAAAATTACAAAAAAAAAAAAAAACATTCACATCACCACCAAAAATATATTGACGCACGTATGTCCTAAATCTAAAATTTGCAATATCTGCAAAGGAGTGCTTTTGCACAACACACTCAGATTTGCATTATAAATAACAATAATAATAGGGCCCGGCGCAGTGGCGCAAGTGGTTAAGTCCTCGCCTTGCACGCCCGGGATCCCATATGGGCGCAGGTTCTAATCCCGGCAGCCCCGCTTCCCTTCCAGCTCCCTGCCTGTGGCCTGGGAAAGCAGTCGAGGACGGCCCAAAGCGTTGGGAAC